TCTTTACCGAGTTTTGTGACGAACTAGGCATCGAGCATAACTTCTCCGCTCCACGTACACCACAACAAAATGGAGTGGTGGAACGTAAAAATCGTTGTCTCGAGGAGATGGCTAGAACTATGCTTGATGAGGCAAAATTTCCTAAGTAATTTTGGGCAGATGCCGTGAGTACCGCGAGCTACGTATTAAACCGAGCCGTCATTAGACCGATACTCATGAAAACCCCATATGAATTATACAAAGGAAGAAAGCCAAACCTCTCCCATCTTCGAGTCTTTGGTTGCAAATGCTTTGTTCACAATAACGGAAAAGATAATTTGGGTAAATTTGATGCAAAGTCGGATGAAGGAATTTTTCTTGGTTATTCATTGCGTAGTAAGGCTTATAGAGTCTTCAACAAACGCACCTTAATCGTTGAGGAATCTCCTCATGTTGTCTTTGCTAGGGGTGAGCAAAATAACCGGACCGACCGTGAAACCGAAAACCAAAAACCGAAATAACCGAGTTTTCGGTTTCGGTTACCTATTCTCAAATTATCGGTTTTTCGGTTTGTCCGGTCGGTTTTCGGTTCTTTAATTCGGTTAGTTCGGTTAACCGAATAACCGAAATCCATATTCACCCCTAATGTTTATTAAATTAATATAACCAATTTTTAAGTCCAAATAAGTGAATTAAGCTCAAATATGTCATTTTAATCATTATTCCTTCTATACCCAAAATACCTATTTTTCCATATTCATCCCTTTGTTCCTCTTTTTTTTAATTAATTCTTAATTCTGTTTTTTATTAATTATTTTACAAATTAAATTGTTAAATAATTTTTTACTAATAAAGTCTACCTTTAGTAAATATTAATTTTTTATAACTTAAATCTATACATATTTAAAAATAGATGTCTTAAATATGCATTTTGCATTTTTTGTAATTATAGTTTACTTTTATTTTTTATTATTTCATAATTAGATTAAAACTCAAGGTCGGTTCGGTTATTTTCGGTTTCGGTTCAGTTATTGTCGGTTTCGGTTTGTTCGGGTTTAATCCAAGGTCGGTTCGGTTCGGTCGGTTATTTTGAATAATAAATTTTTTCGGTTAGTTCGGTTTTGGGCCGAAACCGACCGAACCGACCCGATGCTCACCCCTAGTCTTTGCCGAAAATGATGCTCGCTCGGCGAGAAAGGTCTCTTGTGATGATCTTGTAGATTCATTGGAGAACGTCCATCTCAACGACAATGACGAAGGAGAAAACTCAAAGGAAAGCCAAGATGTAGAAGGAGAGCCACCCGAAAACGAGGAACAACCTCAAGAGGAGGAAACGTCAATGCCAAGGGCATGGAGGACTTTAAAGAACCATCCTCTTGACAAGGTAATCGGTGACATCAACCGAAAGGTAAGTACTCGAAGCTCTCTTAGGGACACCGTAGGTCACATGGCTTTTGTTTCTCAAATTGAACCTACAACCATTTCGGAAGCAATTGATGATCAACATTGGACCTTGGCAATGCAAGAGGAGCTTAACCAATTCAAACGAAATGACGTTTGGGAATTGGTGCCAAGACCCAATGATCACACCATAATTGGTACGAAATGGGTGTTCCGTAACAAACTCGACGAAAATGGAATAATCACTAGAAACAAAGCTAGGCTTGTAGCTAAAGGCTACAATCAAGAAGAAGACATTGATTTTGAAGAAACTTATGCACCGGTAGCACGTTTAGAAGCTATTCGCTTATTACTCGCTTTTTCTTCATCTATGGATTTTAAACTATACCAAATGGATGTTAAGAGTTCCTTCCTCAATGGATTTATTCAAGAGGAAGTGTATGTTGATCAACCCTCGGGCTTTGAAGATTTTGAGCACCCGGAGTATGTCTATAAACTAAAGAAAGCACTCTACGGTCTTAAACAAGCACCTCGTGCTTGGTATGAACGTTTGAGTAAATTTCTTTTGGACAACGGGTTCAAAAGGGGGAAAGTCGACACTACACTTTTTATCAAGAGTAAAAACGATAACATCCTCTTGGTGCAAGTTTACGTAGATGACATTATATTCGGTGCTACTAACGAATATTTGTGCAAGGAATTTTCAAACCTAATGACAAATGAATTTGAGATGTCCATGATGGGGGAACTCAATTTCTTCTTGGGCTTACAAGTCAAACAAATGAGGGAAGGAACCTTCATTTGTCAATCAAAGTATTGCAAGGAGCTCCTAAAGAGATTTGAAATGGATGGTTCCAAAGCAATGGCTACACCAATGAGCACCTCCGAGCATTTGGAAAAAGATGAAAAGGGTAAGGAAGTAGACGTAAAGAAGTATCGAGGTATGATC